GAAGATCTCCGGTTCCAGCCACAGCCATGCTTAAGACCACTCTCCACACGTTCAGATGAGCCTCACGTATGAAGGAACCAGCCAAGGAACCCAGGTGTGTGGGACCTAGGGCGTAGATCTCCAAGCCTGCTTGGATTGGGACTGGGGCCTCCTCCACCCAGATCGCCCATCTTCCAGTATGTAGGCATTAGACCCACCAGCTGCCCCTGGCGCCGTGTAATCCCATCAACGACCAAGATCCAGAGACTATAAAACCTGCTCCCTGAAGCCCTCGGCCGCAAATGTGGCCACGCAACATCTTATCATCTAGTTCTTACTCTGGAGAACCTGGCAGGCTACCAAAAGTATCCTGCCCACAAGCCAGAGTCTGGCAAACTCCCCGTGGCGTATTCAGTATGCCCAAAACCAGTAACAATGATGGGTCTCATTTTCCTGACCCTAAAAGATCCTCGAATGTGGCCTTTTTAAAATCTCAGGGCTAGGACAAAGGAGACGTTACTGGGGCCTGCTCGGGGCAATCGATGAATAATGGGAAGACAGTGGAACAGTGAACAAAGTAGAATTAGATAGGTTAGACCTTAGACATCAGAGTAAATATATTTGGTTCAGTATATCTGTGGATAGTAGTTGTGATATGGAAAAGCAGCGGGAAAACTGGGGAGGAAGTTCTTAGCTACCCACTACCACTCTCTGCTTCCATGAGAACAAAACTTCGGATTTCAGGAGGGGTGGTCGTACTGAGCAGTGCTCAGGGCTTGCTCCTGAATTTCTGCTTAGGAATCATTCCTGGTGGCACTCTCGGGGGGACTATGTGCAATGCTGGGGCTCAAATGGGGATTGGCTACTTGCCAGGTACGTGCCATAACCCCTTGTATTAGCTCTCTGGCTCAAACCTGAGTTTTGCTGAAGATGGCCGTGTGCTCAGGTGTCAAACTCTACTTCCCATTCTCTTTTAAGCTAGAAAAGTGATCCTGTGGTTGGCATTTGGCCAATGAAATGTGATCAGGTTTTAAAAAGAGGCTTCTAAATCACACACACACACACACACACACACACACACACACCCCTTTTTTAATTGATTGAAGTCAGATGACCTGCAATACTGTTAATGATGGTTTTCTGTCAGCCGGATTCCAGCACCATGCCCATCACCAGTGTACCCAGCAGGCTGGCTCTGCAGCTCTGTAATGCCACAGAGCTGGTGCTAAGAGAGTTGTAGGGGCCATGGTGGGGGCAGTCTTCCTGCTGTATGGCAAGAGAGAAAACAGCACATCCTTGTGCTGTTTGATGGAGGCACAGGCAGCTGCATGTTGACTTGAGGTGGGCCTAAAGGACAGATTTGAGTCCTCCGTTAGGTAGAGTGTCCCAAGTGACACGTGGTTGCAACGATGCAAGTGTGATGGGAGCTGCATATTGATGGTTCCATCGAATTCTGGCCACAGAGGCCAGGACGCCATATCCTGGCCTGCAGCCAACACTTGCCTTCTGTGGTTTGTCCCCTGCAGCCCAAACAGAGGGGCCAGACCAGATTTTTATGACCTTTTAATTAAGAAAACTTCTATGATTCTAATTAATCCCATTTGACTGGGGATGAGTAGATCAAAATTAGAAAGGCAATAGGTCTTGGCCCTCTCTAATCACAGGACAGCCCAAGTATTGATCTTTCGAAAATGAAAATCGCATCAGACCTTTCTTTTGCTTGCAACTTCCCAGCAGTTTTCCCCCCATCACCCCCAGAGTGAACCGACTCTCGGCGCGACCCAGAAAGCCCTCTATGGATGGCCGTCTCAGGCACTACTGCTTGGCTCCATCAACCTGCCTGCTGCGTGCCCTTTGCCCTTTGCCCCGCCCCTCTCTCCTCTGTAACTCAACCTCCAGCCACAGTGTTGAATGCTGGGGAACCCCATCCATTCGTCTTCTGTGTTTACAGGTTCTGTGTGGTCTTGGGGGGTCTCAACCAGATGTTGGCATTTGTGCACATGTAGTGTCTTCGCACTTTCAAAACAGATCCCCCAAGAAAACTCAGAGTCCTGCTGGTCGGTATAAAAGTTGCGTGTGAAGTGAGCTCTTTTTTTCTCTTGGTGTCCCACACGTTCCCTGCCAGCATTGTGGGATCTTCAGTTTTGCTTGTACCCAGAGACGAGCACCATTAGTAGATTCTCATTCATGAGGTCACTGAAAGACATAGGGATTTGGGGCATGGCGAGGCAGTGCCCTGGGAGCCTGTGTTTCTTTCTGAACATGGCATGCCCCCTGTTATGTGGGTCACACTCGGTGGTGGAGCAGCCAACCAGAGGTCTTCCGGAAAATGCGTGTTGATTTTTCTCTCTGTTGTTCCAGCTGGCCAAATTCCCTGCAATGGCCTTCTCGCTTGGTGATGGAAATGATGGAAAACATTAACGAAATTGGCCACTTCCTCTTTTACTATTGCTCTGGGCAAAGGGAAGTGGAGTTGTCACAGAGAGGGGAAAGTTGCCCCTGGATTCCTCCTCCCCCCCCCACCCCCCCAAGGCACTTAGGATGCCCGCACGCTCCCAACTGCCTCTTCTGGGCGCTAGTTAAGGAGAACGGTGATTCTAATGCAACAAGAGGCTGCATTCAGGAAACTCCACTTACTCTTTTGCAACATTTTTCCCCCACTGGTGTCCCCTATCCCACACATTAGAAGTCATCGCCATCCAGGTTCCGCGAACGTAAGCAGCCAACAGCTGGGGGTTTCTCTAACTGCCAAGAACTACAGAGTAAATCCGACAGTGGGGCAGTTCTTTGGGTTTTAAACACCCTTTCAACTTCCGGGTAAGGCAGCATGTGTGGAACTTGAGTGACTAGCACTGGGCCTCCTTTGAATAGCGCTGGGTCTTTCTACTCCTGCTGTTTCTTTGAGGGAGACGCCCTTTTCCGCATGTCCTTGTTTACTGCTGGGGTTGGCCTGCCTCGGTTTCTGCAGCAAGGTAGCTCCAGATGTTGTGTATTTGGGTCGGGGGGAGAGTGTTGAAGCCACTCATCTGGCAGTGCTCAGTGGGGCTCCTCCTGACTTTGTGCTCAGGAATGATCTCTGGTGGTGTTTGGGGAACCATATGCCGTGCTGGGCGTTTGCCCCTGTCCCCTGCACACCAGGCACACACCTTACTCACTCGTGGTTCCTATCTGTTTGGCCCCTATCATGGGTTTCTCATGGTTTCCCTGCAGATGTTTCCCCTGCCACTCACCTCCTCCTTACCTTCCCTATCATTGATGGAGTTGTCATAGTGGGCCAGGAGGCTCCCTGCCTGACTGTAGCACTCGCATGTCGTTAGCTGTGGTGGGCAGTGGGGATCACGCGGCAGGCTGTGGGGCTCAAATTCTATAGTAGGGCCACACTTCCTGGGGGACTTCTGAGCCGAGGTGCCCACCAGGGGTTGCACCCTGTGCCGTGGCTGAGATACACCAGATGTCTGCTAGGGGCACACTCCCCCGAGCATGTTGAGACGATGGAGACTTGAACCCTGGTGCAGCCTGAGCCCCTTAGGAGTCTGGGACAGGAAGAAAGCCCCAGTTGGTGGCGCACACTTGCTCCCCTCCTTCTCTCTTCCCTCCCTTCCTGCCTATTCTCACTGAACAGGTGACTAGACCTTATGAAAGGGCAGATGTTTTTATCTTCTTGGATGCATTAAACTTTCCACTTTGGTATGGGCACGTTCGACATTTTATTCATAGCAAACCCTGACTGCTGCTTAGTGAGCATTCGACAGCTACCAGAAATTGGCTTTTTATGCCATGACTCATGGGATGTGTTTCCTGAGAGGAACACGGAACGCTTGTGTGTGTGTGTGTGTGTGTGTGTGTGTGTGTGTGTGCGCGCGCGCGCGCGCGCGCGCAGGCATTTGAATGGGGGAAAACAGCGGAGGCATATGAAAGGGGGTGGGTTTGGGGCTCACCCAGCTGTGCTCAGGGCTTACTTCTGACTCTGTGCTCAGGATCACTCTTGCAGGGACCATATGGGGTGCCAGGGATCGAATCAGGGTCGACAGCATGCAAGGCAAGTGCCTTGCCTGTTGTTTTATGTCTCTGGTCCTAAAAGAGTCTTTATTATTCCCGTTTTACAGACAGGGAAACTGAGCTTAGTGAGATCGAACTCAACCTGGCTCCTACCAAGTTATGACACCATGACTTATGTTTTGTTTTAAACCAGCAGCCTGAGCATGCCCTCAGCAATTCACTAGACATTTCTACGTTTAGAAACTGTTTTTCTGCCTCCTGTCAGAAAACAAAAACAACAAAGAAAACACAACTGATCTTTTCCCCTGAGCTGTAACTGCTTTTCACCATCCCCATTTTGTTTTCTCGCTTAAAACATCAGAATGCCTTTGGTAACTGCAGAACCACTAGGCATCACCATACAAATTGTCAGCCGACTCTTCCACCTCCAGGGTTACCTACTGATCAACCAGATTCAGATGGCATTAGGCTGTCTTTCCATTCCTTTCGCAAACTGTGTGAAAGATGTGCTGTATCCTGCCACCCTGTGTCCTCAGCCATTGTGGCAGATTAGGGGAGGCTCTGTGTTTCAAAGGGGACCTGTCACTCTGTGCAACCTGGCTCCTCACCCTGCCTCTGCCCATCGCCACTGACCGAGGGAGCCGCATTACCTGGGGGGATCATTGGGTAAGAGGTCTCGGGTGCAGGGGGACAGCCAGGGGCCACTGTGCCACATTCCGCAACCATCGCCCTGTAGGGAGAGATCGCCGGGTAGGGAGAGACAGCGTTTGGAAATTGAAGTGCCTGCAGACACTTCTGAGTTTTCTAGACAAACAAGTGTAGTCACTCCATGGCGCAGACAGTGGAAGGTGTGGTGCCCGGGTCTGGCCCAACCTTCTCTCTTGCACATATGTGACTGAGCACCTGCCTTGGGAGTCCTTTCTGGAAACAAGGGCTGTTGACCTCTAGCTTGCAAATACGGACTGATTTTTGAGAAAAACCCCCACGTATTTCCAATGATCACCAGCTTCTCTCGCCTCCAGGTAAGGCTCTGACGTTTCTCCTGCTCCAACCACCGAGCCCCAAGCTGCCACCGCACAGCACCATCCGCAGGACAGCCATCGACCTCATCGGGCGCGGCTTCACCGTGTGGGAGCCCTACATGGACGTGTCGGCCGTGCTCATGGGACTGCTGGAGCTCTGCGCCGACGCTGAGAAGCAGCTCGCCAAGTGAGTGCCTGGTCCTGAGCCATCCTTTGCTCCCTGTGCATTTTGGTGGAGAGCACTGTGGTGCCTCGGAAGTTCGGTTTTTCAATTTTTGTATTAAAGATGTCTTATCATTTGGGTAGTAAGTTTACATGTGTTCAAATTTGGAGCGAGAGCACAGTGGTAGGCCATTTGCCTTGCATACAGTCTGGCTGACTAGGATTCGATTCCTCCACCCCTCTTGGAAAGCCTGTCAAGCTACCAAGAGTATCTCGCCCGCATGGCAAAGCCTGGCAAGCTACCCGTGATGTATTCGATGTGCCAAACACAGTAACGACAAGACTCACAATGGAGACATTACTGGGCCCGCTCGAGCAAATTGATGAACACCGGGAGGACAATGCTACAGTGCTACTCACTCATTTAGGTAGTATGTTTACGTGTGTTCAAGTTTGCAGTAAACTGTGTTTTTTATAGGCCATAAGAAGAGACAAGTATCTCAACATATGAAATTTTGAATCTTGATAGAGAAATGTGTCTATAATTTTGTTCTTAACAATTTGGTGGCGTGGTGGGGTGGATAGGGGGAGAATGGGTCACACCCTACAGGATTAAGGGCTTATTCTTGACAATGCTCAGGGGACCATATAGGTGTCTGGGATTGAATCAGGGCTGGCCACATGGAAGGCAAATGCGTCATCCCTGTCCTGGTGCTGTCTCCCCAGCCTCTGTTTTCTATAGTTTTGAGGCCATTGGGACTTAGCATTGAGCCAGTGAATGATGGTCTGTGACACCATTTTATGTTTATTGTGCCTGGAGATATTAATAACATAACAAATAATAGTATAAGTATATAATTTTAAAGGAGAGTTATTTATGTATATTTTATGCACGTACATATGCGTGTGTATATATATATATGTGGGTGTATATACATATATTGAAAATGCTTGCTGATAAAACACAGGGCTAGATGGTTTGCAGGGTTAGTCCTTCACAATCATATGAGCTTATTAATCAATTTCCTTGAGATTTCAGTACACATAGTGAAAATCCGACTCTCTGGAGACTGCACAGAGCCAGGGAAGCAGCGAGGGGAGAGTAAGGAATAGGATTCTCAGCTGAGCGGTGTTCTAGAATGCATTTGGAATCACTTGGTACCTCCAAATAGAGAGGAGTGATGGGAGAGGGTTGGGGATAAGATTCAAGCTGACTTGAAAACTCAACTTGCTGTCTCCTGGAGGATGTATCTGCTTTTGTTTCTGTTTTTTTTTGTTGTTGTTTTATTTTATTTTGTTTTGTTGACAGTATATTTACTGTCAGGATATTCCCAGGGTATTTACCGCTGCCATATCTTACGTGCACGATTCAGAAGTGATATGCCTGCAGCCTCACACTGTCTTGTTGCTGGTACTGGCCTCTCCTAAGGGAAATGCCTATTAAGCAGTTACTGTCCAGTTATTGTCCATCTTCCCATTCTCCCTCCCACCGACCCCAGCCAGCCACTAAATCTGTTTTCTGTCTCTATGAATTTGCCTCTTCTGGGTATATCATGTACAGGAAATTATACAGCTACATGCCTGTTTGTGTCTGGCTTCTTTCAACCGGCATAATGTTTCAAAGTGCGTTGACATTGCAGCCTATATGGACATTTCATTTCTTTCTCTAGCTGAATGATACTCCATTCTGCGGCTGTATCAGGTTTTTGTTCATCTGTTTTTCTGTTCACGAGCATTTAGGTTGTTTCTGCTCTTTCATTCTTGCGACGAGAGCTGCTGTGTGCATTCAGGTACAAGTATTTGCTTGAAGACCTGTGTTCATTTTTCTTGGGTAGATGCTTGAGAATGTGTTTGCTAAGTCACGTGGGAATTTCACGTTTAATTTACTGAGAACCTTTTTTCCACAGCGGCTTACCATTTCATGTACCTGCCAGATATATACTCCCTGGCTCGTCTTACCTTCCCTTACATAAATTCTCCAAGCTCATCCATCCTAAAAGATGTGACTTCCGAGTGGAGGACTTCTAGAACTGTCTCACAATGTCTCTCAACATGAAAGTGCACATTGCTTTGATTTTCCCAGTTTATGGCAATTCCTCCTCACCATCAGTGACCTCCTTAAACCAGGCCTTTCTGTTCATTTCTTCGTGGTTGACTCTCTGGGATCCTCAGTTCCTTCATGTGGGCTTTGGATTTACACCCTGTCTGAGGGCCACTCTCCTCTCAGGGAGAAGAGGAGACCAGAGAAGCCACTGGGATGGGGGTCGGAGGTGGGATGAAACCAAATGCTTTGACTTTTTTCTGAAGATTGAGAGTTTCCATCCATGGCCCCAATATCGGTTGGTTGGAGGGGTGGGTATATATATCTTAAGTGGAGGCAAGTGCTGTCCGCCCACCATCTCCCTCCATGCCAACTGCCTCCTACACTCCACCTTAGCACCTCTGGTGGTGTCCTATTCTGCACACCATTTCAGCGCTTCCCCATAATCCCCTCAGATCCCATAACATTGAGGTTAAATGGGTTTATCCTCTCACACTGTTAGAGGAGTTCTGAGCACCTGTTAGCTACCTGTATGGTCATATTTTGGGAGGCAAGTTCACGGTCAGTATCCTAGTGACCTCACATCAAGACCTGCCCCTTTCTCAAATGAATAATTCAGCTCAAAACTTTGGTTCAGGAAGACTAGAAGTTGTGTGTTGACGTAAAGGAGTCGGACAGAAGGTGAGCCCATGAGAAGAGACAGTTGGCTTCGGTGCTTAAGGCCAGCTCCTGTGATTGATCATGGCTGTCATGTCTGGGGGCGCCCAGCTAGGGGTCCGCTGTCCCCTCGGCAATCCTGCGCCCTTAAGAAGGCTGTGACATTTTCCAATTGTCCAAAATTTCACTGTGACCTAACAGTTTTACAGTAGGGACTACTATTTTGTTGGCCTGGAGAAGTGATGGCGTGATGCATTTTGCTTTTCCTGTTGGCAGTGCTAGGGATTAACCCAGAGCCCCACATATGCCAGACAAGTGCTTGACCACCGAGCCACACCCTCAGGGAAGGGGCGGCTTTTTAATCCTAGCTGTGCCTTTAATATTTTGTCTGAAAATCAACTCCCCTGAAGCTCCTATCAGCCAACGTAAAGAGGCTCTCATGTTTCATCTCCATGTTGTATGTCCTCAGACACAAATGCACAAGTTTTTTAAATTACACGGCAAGTCATTTAAATCTCTCGCTATTATATCCTTTTCTGTCATGAAGATTAGTATGATTCTCTCGACACAGCTCTGAATAAATGAATGTATCAGCATGTAGCCTTGAGGAGTCCAATGTAATTTTCATCATGATAAATTGCATAATAAGCAAGAAAATGTTTGCTTATTAATCTCTAACAAGATTTAGATTGAAAATGGCCTGTTCCATCCGTGGCATACTGTATAGAAGCTGCAGCAGGCCTGGAACAGGTCAACACGGAACAGAGGCCTTGCTTGCCCCTTCCTCTGCAGTGCCCACCCAGGCTGCCCTTTTGTGGTGCCCAACTGTCCCATAAGTGTTCAGACAGTACCTTGTTGCACCAAGAAACTTTCACCTTAGATTGGTGCTTGTAAACATTTCGTTCACATCTATTAGAAATAGAAAATTTTTTTTTAAAGTTTGAGCCACATATGCTGCCCCATTAGTCCCCCCATTCTTATGAATTTGTGAGGTCTGGGTTTGGGGGAAGGCCACTCACTCGAGCTGGGTCAGAATTCTAGAGAACAGCTCCGAGTGCAGAGGGTCTTTCTTCTTCTTCCTCCCATCTCTCCGCATCCTTTGTCGGAGGCCACTCCGGGGCCGCCTCCGACAGAACTGTACAGGGCATAAGATTAATAGGACATTTCCCTGGATCAATAATGCCTTTATTTTAGAGGTACGGCCTAGAATTTCACATCTATCCAATTACATGAAACAAGTTATTTCAGAGTGTTTTAAATTATGTTCACTAACTAAGCACACATTTATTAAGTGGTTAATATGTGGAAACCACATTGCTAGGTATTTTATGTAATTACAAATACAGGTGATGGCTGGCATCAGAGGGCCGGCCCCCCAGGTTTCTGGGCTCTCACAGGAAAGAGGTGTCCTGAGAGGCAGTGAGACATGAGGAAGTGATGGAGGGAAGGGCGGGACATTCAGAGCCTGCGAGAGAGGAATCTCAGCTCAGACTCAGGCTAGAAAATGGTCCAGGCCCTGAAAGCTTTCATTTGAGTGTTGATGGGCAGAGACAGGGAGGGAGAAGTAAGTGCCAAAGGGCAGAAATGAGAGAGATCCCATGAGAAATGTCTCAAAGATGCGAACGGGCTCCTTAAGTCATAGGCCCGTGAAAGAAAAGGCTGGTCTTCACTCGTTTTATTTATTGATCCCTCGCAGAACTTACACTGTGGATGTGCCCATCTAAAAATCTCCCCTTCCTTTCTCTGTGAGTAGAATGGGTATTATAGAGCCCGTGCTTCTTGGCCTTCCCACTTCCTTCCTGTGCTCCCCTCACCTCCCTTTACCCTTTGACTTCCTGGTCTCATTCTCTGAGCATCCATTTACACAGATTTTCACCTGTGGTCCTCGAGTATCCTTGAACACCCATCTGGCCCCCCGGTTGTGAGACACTGGGCCCGAGCATAATTTCACCCTTTGCTTTACCAACAGCACTGCAACGGATGTGGGAGCAGCACAGTCTGTCCACAGCAGTGAGATCGGTGTTCCTAATGCCCCTTTCCTCTTTGTCTTAGCTCAATTACACGGCTATCATGAAATATCAGACAATATGGCTTAAGCCAAAGTGAATTGTCATAGTCTGGAGATCACAGGGCCAGCTCCTCAGCTTCCCTTCTGCCCACCCTCCTTTTGGCTGGGGGCGGCCATCTTGCCAGGTGCTCACGTGACTTCTTTGTGCTTAGGACTGAGGAGAAAGGCAGAGAGAACCTGCATATGGCTCTCAACCCACTGTGTGGACCTAGCATGATGGACTCGCTCTCATAGGCTCCTCTGACCCTGATTATCTCCC